TCTGGACTCGATTGCGACTGGCCCACCTCTGATCTCCTCGTCGAAGGAAAACGACCCTCCGGCACCCTCAACTTTCGCCCTAGCCGAGCTTCTGCGAATTATTCTCGCGAATTTTCTTGGCTTTCTTCGATCCTTTTTCATTTTTCATTTGTTTACTTAACCCAGTCCCGCGGGGAGTTAACCTCCATTCGCGTTTTTATTGTGCTTTCATTTTTTGTTTCATTAATCCAGTTCCACCGTGTAGTCAACCTTTCATTTTGGAAATATTTCGCTTTTAATCTTGTTGACGGTGTTTCATTTGTTCCATTTATCCATTTTTATTGGATGCTTAACCTTTCATTCCGCTTTCATTCTTATTCACGTTACACTGTTATTTACTAGTTCGATCTATTTTCGACGAAGGCAGGAAGCGTTAGAATTGGCCGCGTAAAAGATCAAAGCGAAGTTTCCGGGATCGGCGTACTTGGAATCGTAAATGTCGAACAAAGAAGGCGAATTCGGCAAACGTCGTCGTCATCAACAAAGTCAAAATCACAGGTCCCGACACTCTCACGCGAATGTCGTGGCAATCTCGGCTGAATAGAAACAGCACAACTACTCGGAAGCGACCGTTTATCGGGTCTAACAAACTTTGACACTAGCTGGCCAACCGATTCCCCGGAATCCAATTAATCCCCGGATCGGATCTAAGTTCGCCGAAGCGGCGCGTGGGAGCGCAGTGGCGTCTCTTCGCGAGTCTTCTCCGAACCAATTACAGGCGTTGCTGTATCGATGACATCACGCATAGAAAATCACATTTCCGACAGTACAGAAGCGATAAAAAGTACGCTGCTCTTTGAAAGTTCGGAATGCCCGTGAATTTCTGAAGAAAAAGAGTGTATTTTGTGCAAAAATATCCTTTGATCGTAAAAGCCATGATTGAATTAGATCTTTTGTGAGAATAAGGTTTCGAGAATCTTATTTGCTTCTAGTTATAGTTTTTTCTCTTTTTGTCACACGTTTAGTTTGTCTTTTAACGAATCTTGAAACCTAAATTAAAATTCCAAAGTAAAACTCGAACGTCTTCAATTTCCTCAAGGGATATTAATTTCCACGACGACCGTAAGTCGTTTCGTTGGCCAGAATCGCGAGCATCGTCAGATCCGACGAAGGACGAGCACGACGATGAAGAAGAAGTAAGCAGAAGAGAGGGAAAGAAATGGATCCTCCGGGGTTTCTCTGCCACTTACTCGGCCGGAAGCTAATTGGCCCGAATCGAGGGTGGCTTTTCCATCATCCGGTTCACGGCATTATGGCTGACTGGCACGTGAGCGGGCCGACCAATGGGAACGCGAGTCGATGCACGAACGACCGGGAGGAACTGCTTCCAACGATGTTCTTCGCCTTCCTTCCTTCGGCCTAATTTCTGATGGCCCTTCCCCGGATGGTTGCCGATAAAACGCGATGGGAGCTCGATAAAGGTGTCGAGGGTTGCGAGGAGTACCGTGCGCTCCGCAGGCCATTGCTGTTTTTGCTTTTATTCCTCAGGGACTCAGGAATAACTGGGCCGATGTTTGTTCTCGAGATGTTAATTTGGGAGTACCAGGTAGACTCTACGCGAAGTCCTTGAAGAGCATGGTTTATAGTCCTTAAGACTCGCATATTCAAATACTTGAGTATTCGTCTGGTCAAGAAATTTTTTTTTATAAGTAACAGAGAAATGGACACGCGAATGATAAAGTATACGAATATTTGAACCGCTCGACTAGAAAATTCGCGAGGGTAGTCTCCGTTCTCGATCGAGCAACCGACCAGCGTCGAAGACGACCGAATCGAGCGCAAAGGAATTCCATGGCGCTCGGAATTCCTCCGTGCACGCGCATCCCATCGCGAGGTTCGTTCTAAGCGAGTTGTTTGGCCAACTGATCGTACAGAAGGGCAAACAAGTCTCTCGGCCGCGAAGGGGTTTGCCGGGCTCCAGGTCGACGTCATCGACTCCTTTTCCGCGCGGAAACTCGCGCTCGACGAAAGAAGCCAGCCGGCGAACAAACAGGAGACAAAGAAGAGCTCTCCTTCCCTCCCCCTGCTCCCTTCGTCCCGCCGCGCCCCCTGGCCGCCACCTCGAGGCGGCCCTTTTCACTTTGAGGGTTAAGAAGTTAGCTGATGGTTCGAGGATTACTTAGACTCCGTACATAAGGCAACTGTGCGCGGTTAGTTTGCGGTGCACACAGCCTCTGAAACCCACCGGAGTGCTTCCTTCTTTCCCTCTTTTTACGTTTCGTTCTCCCTTTCGTTTTTCTCGCGAGCTGCCTGAACTTCTTTCGTCGGTTTCGCTTTAATAAGGGCTGTTCCGCGTTTCTTACCGCGGTTTCTCGCCGTCCCGCTTTGTCCGCAGTGAACTTGAGCCCCCTCCCCCTCCCCCCCCCCCCTCCCGGAGCTTCGAACCTTCCTCGATTCGGATTTCCGCGATTCAAATTTCCCGCCCTCGAGACGACTCGTCAGATTTAGGAGTCTGGTTCAGCGTCGAGGCGGCAAATTAATTTGAAATGAGAATTCTTCGCGACTAAAATCCCTCGAAAGACGCTTCTTCGTAGCCTCAGCGATTCCAGAAATAAAGATTCGGTTCCAAAGAATCTTTCTAACCTTCCAAATTCAAGAATCTACATTCTCGGATCAACGATGACTAAAATTCCTTTTGAAAAGGACTCGATTCGAAAGAACCCTGATGTCTGCTACAAAGTCGATCGATTTCCCACGAAACAACCCCACCGCCCTACAACTTTCAAGAACGTTCGAACGTCGCAAAGTCAAGAACTAAGGAACTCCGAGTGGTCGGCGGAAATCGAGAGAGCCAGGCGCCGAAACGACTTCAGCAGCGCATATATACGTATCGTGCCGCGTGAATTGACCGTGCAGATAACAGGGTAGAGGGACAGTGGGGGGAGAGAAGGATGGTAGGGGAGGCAAGAGGGGGTCAGCGGAGAGAGGGGATGGAGGAAAGTGAGAGAATATCCTGGCCGACACAGAAGCCGACGCTGCTAATGACTCTGTCCGCGGTAATCTCCGGGTGTTATCTGTCCTGGCTACCTGGGGCCCACCTACTTCGAATCACGAAGCTGCACACGCTTCTACCTCGTTTCCCGCCGATCGCCCGGCGTTCCGACGCGCGTCTCCTCTCCGCATCGCCTGAGAATGGAACCGTGGAGGATGAAACGAACACCGGAGATACCGAGCGACTCCGGATTGGGGGGCTTTCAAGTTTCGTCGGTCAGCAGATCGGATTCCTTTTGCTTACCGCGAGATGGAATTCGTTGGAGGGGGGTCTTGAGGGGGACTGGTCGAATATTTTTCGCGTCGAATGGAATATTCATCGTGTGGGGATGGTTTGTTCTTGTCTTTACTAATCCTTTGTACTCGGATGTCCCCTGTGATGGGACGTCGTAAGTAGACAACGAGAAATCCCCGGTCCACCCAGCGTTTGTCGCGGTGGAGCAGGCTCCGATTAGGCTCCGGAGAAGTACTAATTGCTCCGATCGTCTTTCCACATATTTTCCACGGCGCCGGAGGCGTGTCGAGGCCGAAAGTCCAGGAGAAAGGGGATAGCGCGCGCGCGCGCGCAGACAGAGAGGCATTCGGCTTTGATAGGCTAATGACAAACGCCTAGATTGGCCGGCTTATCAGTCGAGCAGCGCTAATTATTTCTCCTTTGTGCGGAGCCGCGCATAATGGCGACCGCCGCGGGCCGGCAGCTTCTCCCGTACGATCGCGATTTCCACGTACGACCGCCGACTGCGTTTGTCTGCGTTTTATTTATTGCCAGATCGAGAGGGATCCACCGGGGGCGCGGATTGGACACCGTTTCTCTCTTTGCTCGGCGTTATCGCGGCCCCACGGACCTTTGCCCTCTTTCTCTGCCTCTCGTTCGCCCCAGACCTCCGCACGAGCGTGTTTTCGAGGACTTTGGTTTCCGCGGTTGCCCCAGTCTTTCCGCGATCCTTTGTTTCGAGTACGCAGTCGATCGACTGTCTTCGTGAGATGATTCAGGGTCGTGACTTCTTGGCCCTAGGAGGGAGTAGGTGAGGATAAGCTGTCTCGGAGTCATGCTCGTTTATTTGTTAAGGGTGGCCATTGGCTATAACACCTAAGTCCTGGAGCCTTCAGGATGCTAGCTTCCGCTACTTATTCTTGACATTCCTCGTGTTGCTCGGGTCTCACCCATTTGGGGAAAGCGTAGCGAATCAAGAGGTGTCAGGTGACTCTCTTCGGACAGGGTATGCGTCTTTTTCTTTTCACTTCTACTGCCCAGTTTGGTTGACCCGTCGAAGAGCAAAATTATTTGCAGATTGTTTGCCACGATGGCGACGAGTCAGGGCTTCCCCATTACGAAAATTCCGCCGCGTAATTACCGTAATTCCACGGCGGAATGTAGATTTATCGAGTAGCCAGCGAAGGCACATCCATTGCTCGATGGAATGTCCCGCGCAATCTTGCGAGCTGCTACTGCACCGGTGCATTTGCATCGCGCGGAAGACTAAAAGCGAATCAATCGTTTTGTTTTCCTTGGGCCGCTCTCAAAGTGTTCGCCATTAAAAACGAAGATTGCGGCCACCTACGCCGGCGTGGCCTCTTTGAAAGAATCCTGCGTATATACCTTTTACCGAACCCTTGCGTTTGACTTTGATTAACCGATTCGCAACTTGGAAGCAAAGCGGACTTGAATCTTGAAATTGAAGGATTTGATACTGGACAAACGGCTCCGGAATTGTCAAGGGAACCTGAAAATTAAAGAAAGGGGTTAAAGTGTTGCGAAGATAACCTCAAAATTGAGGGAGTGATCAAGATAAGTTAAGGTTAAAGAAAAGGGTTAGTTTAGAGTTTGAATATTTCAAAGCTGGGGAATTTCTACTTTTGGGAATATAACCTCAGAATTGGTGGAGTGATCAAGATAATCTAAAATAAATGAACAGTTTACAGTTCGAGTATTACAAAACTGGGGAATCTCTAATTTTAGGAATACAACTTCAAAAGGGGAGCGGGTGATTCTCCGATGTACGGGAAGATAACCTCAAAAATGGAGAAACGGGTGATTTCCCAAGATAACCGCGAATCGTCATCGTCGCGCAGAGATATTAAAAGCGAAAAGAAAGACGAAGTTTAGTAAGAGTTTACGAGCTCGAGAGGCGAGTGACGTAACCTGGGCACCAATTATGCCACTACGCGAAATAATTGCCTCGATCCATACTGCGCTTTCCGGGGATGCCACGAGCACGATAAACTCGTACTAGAGTTCGCATCTCTTCTGCCTTTGCTTCTCTTCTCGTGGTCTTTTTCGTCAAGCTTGGCTTGTTAACAGCGGCCCACGATGCATAATACATTAGCTGACCGCTAGACATTTTTCTGCTCTACGTTCGCGACACCTTGCGCAGCTTTTATTCGCATGGGAGTCGATTGAATACGCCTGGGGATGTATCAGCATCCATTCTAGCGATGTATTCATTGTGGGCCGACGCTGAAGTAATTTGCAAGTAACATCGACTATGGCTGCGAGTGTTAACAAATTATCGAGTTTCTTTAGTGTAACAAAAATACATTGCATAATTTTCTAATCTGTAATGATCTTTAGAGGTTTAGAAACTCTATCCTTAACTCTCAATTTCGTTACTTAAGGCACTAACAAGAGAATAACCTCGTATGTTCTTCTTTCGGTGTGAAAAATATTGATAAATTTTTGAAATCTTAATGTTCGTAACGTCAAGCTAGATTTGGAAGTTGGAAAGTCTACAAATTTGCACAGTAACAGTGTTGCCAGTACAGTGACGTTACGTTACGTAAATTACTCGAGTTTGACGAGCACAGTGTCGCCAATATGGCAGCCCTGATGTCATCGAATCGTGACTAACAGCCAGTTGATTTCCCGAAAAGAGAAGATAGAGGAGAAATTGCGAGGATGAGCTCCGCCCGTGAAGCAGTCTGTCCCAATATATGCTCGCCTGATTTTTTCAGACGATATTGAACTCGATGCACAAGTACCAACCGAGGTTTCACCTGGCGAGGGCCAATCACATCTCGCAGCTCGCCTACTCGACGTTCAGGAGTTACGTTTTCAAGGAAACGGAATTCATCGCGGTGACCGCTTATCAGAACGAAAAGGTGAGTGAACGTTCCTATTCTCTAATTAACTGATAGATAGAGAGGGGTTAAGTTAGGTTATTAATCATACAGCTGGAAAATGGACCAATTCGAATCCATGATTTTATTTTTGGACATTTTACAAACACAGGAAAAGTTTCTAAACTGGTATTGTTATCTGCATCTCTCGTTGCCACACAGACGCGTGTACCTCGAGGTGTTTTATGTTATTAATTGCACCACTAGAGTGCATCGAACTGTTGAATATTAAATAGTGTTACAACGCGTAGAATCGTCGAGAGTGTACTTATGTTAATCAATGTCTCGTTCCATTATTCGCCCAGGAAGGTGTGGAGTGTAACAAGTTTACCTATTTTTTCACTGGCAGCTTGTTAATTATCGAGTCATTACCATCGTTAATTACCCAAGTTTAGCTGGACATAGCAACTGATTAATTACGTTAATTGCGAACAGCCGTTGTAGTATCATTTCAGTCGCAACCGTTTGTTTACGGAACAGTAACCTCGAATAAAAATAACGGTTAGGTAAATAATGATTAAAAACAGAAACAAGAGATGTTCGAGAAACGATTTGTGAAATTTTGAGGGCGGCCATGTTTGGCGAGAAACGAGGACAAACGAACGGTTTCCTTTTTTGTCGGTCGCGTTAATTAAAATCCCCCTTCGTCGATGGGGCCAAAAGGGTTCGGGGAACCACCGTGGTTCCCGGTACGCATTATTTTTGATGTTGCATGCGCTCAAAAGGGGCCCCTTGTCTGGATTTTTCGTCGTGCGATTCCCTCCCCACTCGCCCTTCGTTATCGCCGCTCCTTCTCGGTATCTGCGACCGGAAGAAGGATCTCGTTTCTGTGGATCTTTTTGAGCCGGCTAACGCCTTCTGCGTTTCGTGTAATCGAAAGTCAGCTCGATTCGTGGCACCGTCGTTTCATCGTAACTTGGCCCATAAAATGGCTTCCATCTTGGAATTAAGATGTTATAATTAAGTAATACATATCGTAGGATTCGGGGCAAAATGGTGGTGCAGAATTACAGTTAAACTATTGTTGTGTTACGTATCGTAGTGGCTCCCATCGGCGGTATTATATTAAATTAGCTAACGCGCCAAATTCAATATTGCATAGTTGTGTAAATCACTCACTTTAAAACAAATGTTAAAACTAAATTAACGTTTAACTGTTCAATTAACCGATCTTCAAGGATTCAAGTTTGGGAAAATATATAAAATGCTGGATTTCTTGTAATTTTTTGAAGAGGTTAGATCGAGGTTGCATTGACTCGTGACGATTATTGACATTCATTGAAATTTGTTTATGTTGCAGATCACCCAGCTGAAAATCGACAACAACCCGTTCGCGAAAGGATTCCGGGACACGGGCGCGGGGAAGCGGGAGAAAAAGTGAGTATCGCTTTCAAAACTTTGTCAAACACAAAACCACGTAAAGAGCCCCCATGAAAAAGGTTTGCGATTTCTCTGTCGCAAATGATAGCCACGTGACCCTCACGTGACGGTCACATGACGATCATGTGACGGTCACGTGAGGGATAACTAGTACCATTCCTTTTTTCATGGCGGCTTTAAAAACTTCTTTGTCAGAAGAACAACACCGACAAGAGTACTATCAATTAAAATACTATCGAAATACTTCCATGGAAAAAAAAAAAAAAAAAAAAAAAAACCCAAACCTACCCAAGTTCCCACAACAGGACCCATACAGGCAGAATCCCGAAAGCCGTGGAAACCCCTTTCCCGGCCACCCCTATGAAACAAAAACCAATTCGCAGGCATGTCTTCGAGGTCGACCTAATTGATCGCGGAGCATTTTGGGGGTCTCTCCCCTCGATCCGCGCTATTAAGGTCGACGTATCGACCTCAGGGTCAGCCCCCAGGGCCTGGGGTTGGTTTCACGGGGCTCATTTGCACCCCGAGCGGCCGCTAGCATCGTCCATTTGTATTCAATATCGCGGGTTTATGAGCTTATGTCAGCGAGGGTTCGCCGCCGCATCGAGAGACCCATTTCAATTTCATTGGTCGCGTTCGCGGGGAGTGGCAGGGGGGAGGGGGGAGGGGGGGGACCCGTGACTCGAGTGGATTCTGACGAGGTTAAGTTGCTATGCATAGGTCTCGTGCCGCCCTCGTTAACGTTGCTAATCCTCGTTATACGCACTCATCGGCGACCCAAAGCCCATGTAAGCTCTGCCAATTTGCCTACTCGCGTACGGCATTAGTGGATATTTCAGGTGCGGTGACTGCGATTCGTGAAGACATCTAAGTGAAGGGGGGTTGGCGGGAATTCGTTTGGGGACGCTTTCCGATCGTTTAGCCGGGTGATTTTGGGTTGTATCCTCGCGAGCGAGTGCCTTCGGTCAACTATCCTCTTGGCTGAAAGGTGATTCTCCTGGCGGATCGGGAGTTTGGTGATCTACCTACAATTTCAGCACGCAGGTTAAAGCACCACGAGTGCTATATTAGGGTTACTGTAACGATATGTAATGTATGTATAAAATGGGGAAAATAACTCCACTATTTTTCCAGACTACAAATATTCCGCGCAGAATTCGCTGGGTCCTTTTTTTGGGGATGGGACAGTACCTTAGATGAAAGCTGAGAAAGGGGGTAGGGCTGGGTTCGAGAAAATTCTTCTGACCTACAATTAGCTCACAGATCAAAGCACCATAAGTGCTATAGCACTATAACAATATTACTATAACAATATTCTCTATTCAAATAATTCACTAAGCCGTTTTTGGGGTTGGAGACACCACCTTAGATAAATGATGTGGGTGAGTGGGTGGGGGGTGGGGGGGACGGGGGAGGAGGCAGGGTCCGAGAAAATTCCGCGGAAATTGAAGCGACGGCCGGATAAAGAAAGGGCGAGGTTAATCGAGAAAATATGCAAAGCAGGGGGCGCGTCGTGGCGCCGCCTAATTAGAATAAGGGTTAGTTTTGGCTTATGGTTTCGGTTAAGGGTGGCCGGATCCCATCAGGAAGCCGCAGAGGAACGGGAGATGGTGCCGCGAGAGGGGGCAGAGGGAAGTAGCGGGGTTGGAACATAGCCAATCATCGGATTAGCATACTGATGCTCAGGGGCGGCGCTGTCGTTAGCATGAAGGGTGCCACTTGGCGGCTTTGAATTTTATATCGCCGCTACAGCCAGTAACTGGCGCATAAAGGGCGCCTTTGTGGCGTGGAGGTTGACTTCTGTCGACTCAGGCCTCGTAGTTTTTTTCTTTTTTTCTTTTTTTAGACTAGAATGTTTTAGAACATTATTATGGTTCGCTTTTGGTTCTTCCAGGGTCTTCGAAAATTTAATTTTCAAGTCCTCTGCTGCTTCGTTTTCCGTTCTTCGTTGTTGCATTAATTTTTTGTTTGTAATTAATCGCGGCAATGAACGTCTGACGTCAAAGAATAGTTGCGCGAAGAACCTAACTTAAAAAATGAATAAAATATTTGTCACTAGGTGGCTGCAGATAAAGAATCAAACAACCTAGCAAGAATAACAAGAGATGAGACAGATGAACAAAATAGAGATTGAATAAATAGAATAGAAGTAAATTTAAATTCATCACGAATGATCAGGAATTATTATGTGAAAGCAGAATAATTAAATAACTCGTGGCCATCTGGTAAATTCGACATGGGATGGTCGCACGTCAGGGTCCACCGTCGTACGTCGCATTATTTCGTCAACTTTTTAACAAAGCGGGTCGAGTCACGACACGTAACACCACTCGAGTGTGTCGAGTCGATTCGTCATGCCGCTTAAAAAGAAAGTTTTCTGGGGAAAAAAAGGAGGATAGCCACTGCTTGCTTCGACACGGTTCATCGTCACGTCATATATCACCGAGCACTCCGGAACGGTCGCTACGAAGTACTGACACAATCAATCTGCTTGTGGGACCATGTCCACTGGCGACGTCATTAATTATCACGGTACCCTGTATGCATTCCGCATTCAAAGATTAATAATAATTCTAGTATTTTTAATTGAAATATATCATAGAAATTAATCGGGAAAATACTGTTTCTATTTAGGAAACATTGAGGTCGATGCTATCCTCGCTTTGCATGTCGATGTTGACACGCGTACCACCATTGAATAGCTGATACGTACAATAACAATATTAAATGGATTTCCACCTCGTATTATAATTGGTAATTAACTGTTTCGTTCGTCGATAACGAAATATTTGTCCCTTATTGCGGCAATCCGATTGTTGATTATTGCACGTTTACGTATATCCGATTCCCATGTGCTATGGTAATCCCCGCAGCCAGTAAATATTGATATTTATCACTGGTGGCTATCAGTTCACCTAATTTTCGGGTCAGAATTATTTCATGTGCACCTATTTTCAACGTAAACAGCAATAATAACAATGATAATAATACATTGCGTCAAAATCCCATATCGTTAAATTAATAAACAATGGTAGGAAAGTAATAAATAAACACAGAAATAAATTACTGAAATTGTTCAAAAAATCTTACTCTATTTAAATGCTCACCCCCGAAAGTATTTAGAATCAATCCCCAATTAGTAGCTCCGACAACTGTCAGAGATGAGCAAGCACGAATCCTAGCAATTGGGGCGCGGACCCCCCAATTCCCCCGTTCTGAAATTCTCCTCAAATCGTCCCACGAGGGTGCTCGTGCGGGTTGTAGAAAAAGAAGGTTTGAAGTAGAGTCAAAGGTCCCGTATAATTTCGCCATAATTATGGGACGTCTAGGTTGCTCATCGAGCAGGAGATGTCGCTTCATCGATGATCGACGTTCAGACAGAATGAAAATTCAGCCTTTGACGTTCGACTATCGGTGTCATCCCACCCCTGCCTCATCCTCGAGGATTTATAATCACCCCTTGAACCCTGCGTCCTCCCCCCGGGGGGCCGCCGTGACGGCGCAACGAACGGGGTTTTTTTGTTTCCGCACCCCCACCTCCCGCCCCCGGTCGTCCCTGAATGCGCAGCGTCGAGTGCCGCGCGCAGAATCATTCCCTATGAAATTCTTCGGGGCTGATGATTCGCGACGAACTGTCTTAACGGATCGTTGGCAGCCAAGTTTCCTTCCGACGCGGTATTGTTGTTAATTAAAAACACGGAAGGGGGTGTACTGACGCGTTGCTGCTCGAAGGGTGGCTACTTCAATTTCTTTGTAGGGAATTTTAATAGGAGATGGATGTTGCTTTTTTATTTTACTTGGTGCTTTGGAACGTGCATAGTTTGACTGGTTAGAAAAGTCCTCCGGGTGCGTGGCCTGGAGTGGGGATGGATAGTGAGAATTAGAATGAACCTGCGAGATAAAACGTAGAATCGCCTAGCTATTCAGTGAGCCATATCATTCGCCGCTCGAGAGTATCTATAGTTTGACAATTATAGAAAGTCCTCTGTGGGCGTGGCCTGAACGTAGTGGGGATGGATAGTAAGAA